ATAATATATCTGCTTGTGGTGGCGAGGCCTGGCTAGTGGTTGGCTGACAGGAAGATTGATGCCGCGGCCCAGATAGCATCTCTCCATTGAGGGGACGCTGTTGACTGCGACGCTGCCCATATTCATTAGGCCACCGTCGTCGGCTTCTGAGCGTAACGACACACTTATGTATAATTTACGGGCACATCCAGAGGCTGAGGCGGCAAACATGATGCAATGGGACAAAACAGGCCTTTTTTGGCACCAGGCGTCTGCAGTTTAGCTTTACAGTGTGTTCCCATGTAGAGGCCGATGGATTACTCGCAGTGTGCATTTCTCTGGTGCTTTTATTTGAATCATCTTCTCTCTGAAGTGTAGCTGAATTTGTGAAGTGAAGCAGGCAGCAGTAGAGTCCTTTGTATCCAGTGAAGTTGGTTAAAAAAGCTGGCATTTTTTTGAGCCCCACCTGTTTGGAATACAGTGTTTTTAAATGGTATCATTTACTTAAATGTTTTGTCTAAATGGACTGCCAATGTTTTCAGTAATGCCATGTTTCTTTTTCTATTTGGAGTTTGATCATTGTTTGTTCACTTTGTGCCGTCTTAAGATTATTCTCCTTTTCTTATTCTTCTTTTCCCTTTTAAACTATTTATTAATTTTCCATCTGTTATTGATTTGGTGATTTGCTGTTGGTGTGGTGCGTGTCGCGTTGTATACCATTGTGTCTTGTATTGTCCATTTTTTTTATTCGTAGGTGTTGGGGTGGGACGTCCTTGAAAATGAGAAGATACACATTTCAAACATGACATCTGTCTTCAAAGGCACAAAAGTGTGTTGGGTCACATGGTTGGAACTGTGTACTACATGTGCAGGTGTAACACAAGCTTTAGACCTTGTGTGTGTGTGTGTGTGTGTGTGTGTGTGTGTGTGTGTGTGTGTGTGTGTGTGTTTGTGTGTGTAGGTGCTCCTGCGCGTGTCCACACAGACTGCGTGCACCCTGATCCGGTCCGGCCCGGTGCCAGCTTGATCGCGTTGGCGGTTGGAGCTGCTGCTAAGCGCTGGTGAATCACGCCCGAGCAGGTTACCTTGCCGTATAGCTGCCGGGGAAGCGGAGCAGCGACGGCTGCGTCCACCTCGCTGCCGCTGACCTTGGAGGTCACTCGCCAGGAAGGAGACATTCATCACTCTGACACTTCTGGGGGAAAGTGGATGGTGCGTTTGTGTTGTCTGCTTGCAGTTTATTCCTCATCATTTCCTCACTGTGATGATCTACTCAGCTTACGGAGATTCTGTATTCTGAGTGTTGTTGTTCATTTAAATTAAGATGCAACGGTTTAACAAACGCCTGCACTACTCTGTGTCCGGTGAAACATCGGTCTTCCTTCTCTCCCTCTCATGCCTCCTCTGCATACGGTTGCTGCTGGTGGACAAATATCGACCGTCGTTGGACCAAGTGCCTGTTTGCTCCCCAGAAAAGACTCATCGTGTTACAACAGATTGATGTCTTTGCCCCCAAGGACTTTAATCTCCTTTCAAATAAAAAATGGAAACAATCATAGCTGCTGGTGGGGGTGACACTTTCAATGATGTAGCACACTCGCCAACTCCCCCCCCACTCCCACCCGCCCCAAACAGCGGAGTGACCTTGGCAGGTGTGTTCTTTGTTGATTTTGAAGGATGACAAAGTGAGAGGCTTTCATAGCATACTGTGTCCTCTCTTTCTCCCAGTCTCCTCTCTGTAGGGGGGGTGCTTCATGTGTGTGTGTGGGTGTCTGTCAGTGTTCGTGCTTTGAAGATGTGATGCGGTCATAAAAGGAGGGAAGGAAGCAGCTTAAAGATGTGACGCAGAGAATTAGAAAGAGACGGATTGCACGAATAAAGCATTCAGAAAAGGCAAAATAATATTTGCTGAAGCTGAATTGTTCAATTGAATCATTTGAATCAAAGGCACACAATTATATTGTGCGTACCATGAATGTGATTAACGCTGTATGGGGGTGTAATGCCCACCCACACCGCTCACGTATATCACTTATTAGATAGAAAGCACCGTCACTTATCTCTCTCTATTAATACACAATCTATGATTGGGCTCAAACATCAGCGTTAAAACGATGCTGAAAGAGAAAAAGTTGTTGTGTTTGTTTTTGTCAATGATTTGCTACAAATGTAAAACATTGATAGTTGAATCTTTTGGTAAGAGACATCTACCATTTTTTAGATCACTCTAGCAGTCACACACTATGGGGACCAAATGCTGTGCAGTGAATGAGTAGAAGTAAACAATACCAGTTATCTTATTTGAGGTCGAGGCGAATGAGCTGCCAAATGAAGTAGGAACACTGTCTTTTAACACGGAAACTCTACAAAGATGCTGCATCCCATCAGACTTCACGGACTCCGCCAGAGCGACGCCGATGGATTCAATGTGATGATTGACTCGCTGGGATGGACTCGCGCTCCATACTTTCACCCGCTGTCTCGCTACACTTGAAACGTGACGTTTAGCTCGGAGGCGTGAGGCCGCCGGTGGTTTTCAGATTACTGCTGAACTGTCGGAATAATACGGGACAGAGGAGGACGATGTTGGTATGAACTAATGTTCTCTCTATCTGTGGAGTGGATGTGTGAGACACACCGTGCCCACTCATTCACAGAAGGATCAGTGTGCAACATAACAAAGAAATAAAATAACGTGTATGCAGTGATCGTCCTCAAATTCAGTCACAGAAGTATTTGCATCCACAAATGTGTATTTTTGTAAGCATTCAATAGTATCAGGGGGTGTAGTATTAAGAAGTACCAGAAATATATTTATATTTAGGCATGAAAATAAGGATTGAAATAGTTATTGATCAATAACTTTAGGTCACTGTTCACACAAAAGTGTGACAAGCGTGTTTCCAGCACCTTTGCCTCCATCGGTACAAACGCCTCTCTGCTCCTCAGAGATCTCCCAGACGCGACGCCTCTTTGTCATCAAATGACACTTCGATTGACCTCCTCCATTCCCCGGAGTGATCGGGCCGACGTGGCATCGGTTCGACCTTTGAACTCTACCCTCAACCAGACAGTTCGGCTGGCGGCGGTCATGATTTATCTTCTTGGATTCCCATTGACTGACTGCGATCACAGATCAATGCCGCTGACGCTAACGGCCAAAGTGGAGGAACAAGCAGGTCAGATTTTATTCTCTCTAACAATTTAGGGCTGTCTCTAACACACAAACACACACAGGGGACTTTGTGCTCCATCCATTGCGGGTCAAATGAGGGTATGACCTCATCTCAGCTGCGTAAAAAGCACCGATGACCAACAATGAAATACGGAATAAAACGTCTTTAAATAAGTCAAGTGTTCGGTTAGCTGTAAACGTCGCAAATAATGCGATTAAAATCAATATGATGCATTTTGGAGTGGATGATAATGTAAAGTATGTTCATGTGAGGATGTAAATACTGTATATTCACTGTGTAGGATTCGTTTTTGACAGTTTCCTATTATCTGTGCAGAGCAAAAAACTAATATTACATTAAAAACTGTACAATTCATAATCCTTAGCGGCAGCAGTGGATATTTTGTTGTTAAGAGGGTGATTGACATGAGTGTTTCTGATGGGATATTGATCTCATCATCAACTGTATTCCTGCAACAAAAAAAAGCATGGTCGTTGAATAGAAACACACACACACACACAGGTAATCTATCTACTACCGTGACACACAAAAGATTCATCACCACGGTGCGTGATTAGTGCCTCGCCTCCTCTCCACACACTTCTCCACTTGCGCTCCATCATCTTGCAGACTGAATAATTGTGTTTTGCCACCGTCAGAGTGATGCATATCCTTCCGATTATCCAGATGTGGGTGGCACCGTAATCCATATGCCCGGGACACGAGTACAGATGGCCGTGTAATTGCGAGCACACGGTGGAGATCACCCTGCTTCGTGATCAGATTCATGGAACTTTCTTCTGTGTGTTCACCATTTGATGTTTACAGAATAATTTCTCAGGAGTGGGCTTCCTTGCCAGCTAGAACGGAGACACATTGGCCCGGCACGCGCTCCAATCCTATCGGTTTCTCCCCAGTTTGATGCTGGAAATGAAGTGCATTGAAGGAATTTTTCAGTGCCAAACAAATGTGGTTTTATTTGAGGTTTTATATAGAGGTAATTAGTCTGTTTATCCAAACTGGGTGGTGTGGAGACCACCACTGGTCAGTCGATGCTGTAGCTGGTGGTTTGGGTTGTTGAAGGTGCAGTGAGATGCTAAAAGTGTCGACTGAACGTCGTTACAGAGCCCTTCGTAACCTGCCGGTGAAAGTGCTCATGGTGCAAACATATGGTGTCAGCATGGCAGGACATCAAGTACATCAAATAGAGGGGGGTAAGTAGTCAGCTCCTTAAGTAGAAGTTGCAATTGCAAGTAGAGAAAAATGCTCCGATTAAAATGACACAAAGGGTAAAACGTATCAATGTCAATAATTGTAAGTAGCATAAAAGAAGCAAAGAATTGAAATACTAAGAAGTGACTTATATATAGACCCCCCCCCCCTTTGTATGAGCAGCACATTGTGGAGTAAAGCTGGTTAACGGTGGGAACTGCCCCCCTTCTACTGGTGTGGAGACGTGGCCCCGGCTGCACAAAGAATGACGCGCTGTCCTCTTTATCCGCGAACAGGACGATTGACGTTTTCCCTCCGCCGACAAACTCGCAAACTTCCTTCTTTAGCTGCACACCGTGAGGGAGGGAGGGAGGGGGGGGTGAGAGGGAGTTGGGGGGGAGCAGGAATCCACAGAGCTGAGAGAGAGAGAGAGAGAGAGAGAGAGAGAGAGAGGGAGGGGACTGATGGAGGGGCTGCAGTTGTCATGGAAACGCCGGCGGGGTGGAGCGTTGGGAAGTGGGACCAGTTTGTTTTGTTATTGAAGGTCACGTGGCGAGGTGAAGCTCCTCCCCTCTCTCATTCCCCGCCACCCCCCCCCCCCCCCCCCCCCCCCTCCCTCCCTCCCCTCCCGTTACCACCGATTCAACCGACTCGAGCTGCTGCTCCGGTCAGTTACTACAAAATGGCTGCAGAGGCTCCGCCGCCGACGAAAAGCTCCTGAACGCTTCACGGTAGGATTTGTTAACCCCCCCCCCCCGACCCGACGCCCCCCCCCCCCTCTCTCTCTCTCCCCGCATTCTTTGCACCGCGATCGCTTTGCACTTTCGGGAAAAATCTGCGCGTTTTATTTTTTTAAGTTAACCGAGCGATGCTGCAAAAGGGAACGGGAATATGTTCGGTTCGGCCCACTTTGACGTCGATGGGTCGCGCGCTCTTGCGCGCGCTGGTCGGACCCGTCCTCGGTACTTTCTACCCGGGTTGTGACCTCAGCCCGCATCCGGGTGTAGCTTCAGTCCGGGTAACCAGCCGGCCTGACGGTGGCCCCGCTCCTTGTTGTGATTCAAGGGCACCCTGCTGGTTTGCTGTGTTTGTTGTGTGTCTGCAGACGGGCTGTTTGTTGCCGCTGCACTGGTGTGTGTAGGAGGAGGAGGAGGAGGAGGAGGAGGAAGAGGAGGAGGAACATGGAGATCGGTGCAGCTCATTCTGCAGAGCGAGCTGTGCATCAGCTGACAGGCAGTAAACGCATTAGCAGGCTGAGTTTATTTACTCCACTCATGATGTCGACACAGGGTTTAGCTTTAGCAGCTTTATTTAGCTGCTGTAATGACCCCCCCCACACACACACACCATCCCCACCCATGCATTATTTTTCACTTGTTGAATAACTACACGCTTGCTGAAAGGTTGGAGAGGCTCCGTTTGTAAATGCAGAAAATAGAAATGCAGAGAGCTGTTTATAGCGACGCCTTTCATTGGCTTCAAATAACCTTGAGAGGTGTTTTGTTGGAACTGTTGCAGGACTGCTTCCTATTTTATTCCCTGTGTGTGTGTGTGTGTGTGTGTTGGAACTCAAGCACTGACAGTCCGTTTACTTTTAGCAACGTTGGGGTATGTTGCATTTTGCAGAGCTCCTGCAGTGTCACACAGTCCTGAAGCAGCGAGCCGCGTGTGCAGACTGGGGATGCCAGCATGCACGAAGATGCATGCAGGAGGGCAGCCTGACGTAAGCTCGCAGGCCCGCTGCTTTCACTGGTGTGTCCGTGGTGGAGGGTTGGGTGGGGGGGGTCTTCTCGCCCCCCCCTCCCCTCCCAGTCAGCACCCAGCTCTGTCTCTGAAAGAGGCAGTGTGTATTCACAGAGAGGCGCCAGAGGGGGCTTGATAACAAAAACAGGCCTCTAAATGGGCCGATTACTACGAGGCTTTAGGTCACAGCTTCACATTCAGCCCGAAACACGGCGGCTTCCTGCTGCTCCGGGCCGAGGGGCTTTCTGCCAGGTTGGGTCATTTGGCTTTGGCGAGTTGTTGTCGGTGTCAGTGATCGAGTCCTCAGTGGAAGTGATGAACTGGCGTTCGGCAGTTCACTGCTGTCAAAGAACATTTTTGCCTTCATAAAAAGTTCCCGTATGGCTTTCGTTTGAAGTTTCTGTATTTGGGTAAGGATTAGTTACTTTAAGCTGTTAGCAGTGCACATATGGTTTCCAATTCTAATTGTAATGGGGGGGGGGTGTTTTATAAAAGCAAATATAATTCATTTCCATAATCGTCCTTTACAGTAATAAATATCTGCAGCCCAGTTATGTGAGCTCTCTTTTCATCCAGGCCATTAATCCACACAGATAATCTAATATCGCTCAATTCCTGAAGACAAATGGACTCTGTAAGAGACGCTTGTTGGCGGCGTCCATTGGTCTCCTGGACCAACACACCGTCCCCCTGAAACAAGACCGCTACCCTTCACTTCTGCCTGTGGGCCGGGAGGCGGACCTTCTGCAGCGGGGGCCGCGGGAGTTATTTTCGGGTCCGTTCCGAGTGCCAGGATGGCCCGCATGCGTTTCTCTCTTCCCTCCTCGTCCTTCGCTCGGGTCAGAAAGCATTAACGTGACCCCCCCCCCCCCTCCCACAGAGAACCGATCGGAGCCTTTTAGAGGGCGGAATCCTTATGGGACGGTGGAGACATTTTAGCTGTCACACCATTTCCGAGGTATTCACTGAATTTGGACCCCCCCACCCCCCCTCTTTTGCTGTTTTTTTTGTGTTTTTGGGTGGTGCATTTGTGGTCGAGAAAACCGTCTCGCTCCAAAAGCGGGAGCCGCGCATTGTGCCAAAAAGCTGCTGAGCTCGGCTCTCCCGAGGGCGCGCTCTCGTTTGGCAACGAAGGCATTCCTGGCTCCGTGCCCAGCGACTGCCGTCTAGCAGCCCCCCCCCCTCCATCCCCTTCTCTGCATGCACACATACCAGCCCCCCCCCCCTCCGTTGCATCCCTCTCATCTTCCTCGCAGCTTTCGGCATGTACGTGTCCACAAATCGTCACACGGCGCCGTCCTCTGCTTCATCTCCCTACAGATCTAACACTCGCTGGTTGGAGGCCGTCCTTGGGTACCCCCCCCTCCCCCCTCCCTCATCCCTCCCCTCTTTGCCCTCCTTTGTCAGAGTGAGTGTCTGCCTGGTTTTAAGAGGGACACCGAGCCGTAATCCTGTTGTTCTGTCAGGAGGGTGTAATTCCACCAAAGAGCTGAGCTCGTTGACCCGCGTCCTCCGTCTCCATCGCGATGTAGCCGCTCAGCACCTTTAATGATGTTCTGATCTACATTTTATGAAAGGGTTCCTTTTTTAATTGTTTTTTTTTCTTTCTGTATCTTTTCCAATCACGGTTTCATTAAAATGCCGCCATGTGCATAGTGGCACGTGCTATTGTATTTTCCAGAGGCGCCGGCAGCAGCCCAAGTGGGAAACAGCCGCTGTTACGCCATCGGCAAGCACATCTGTCCGATCCGGGCAGATGTTTGCGAACGACACGGGCGCCCTCATCGGGAGAGACTCTCGCTGTCCGGCTCCGGCACCCAATGTTTCTTTAAAAATGGAATCCTTTTGACGCTTTGTTCGCCCCCGTCGGCCTCCTCAGCCGGGCCGGAGGCCGACGGCGGCTCACGTTAACTGGAGCATCGCTCTTATCCTCTGATCCCGCATGACACAACACAACCCCCCCCCCCCCCCCCCCCCCCCCCCCCCCTCCACACTTCCACCCCCACACACTGATGCCTCGGAAAGGAGCAGCGCCAGCTATATTTAGCACGGCAGCTGCAGCACGCGGGTTCCGAGAAAATAATGGTTTGCGGTGATGATGCCGATGAGGTGGACGGGACCGGAGGCGCTTTCCAACGAAAAGTGCTGGGCAGTGATGGAGAGGCTCTCCGCGTCACGCTGCCTCTTCTCATCGCCGCTGCGTAAACGTCGGTGGCATGTGGGCTGAGCCGGCGAGTGAGAGGATTGTCTAAAAATATCTCCTAATGTGTCACCGTGGAGGCTCGCTGATGCCATCTTCTATTTTTGAAAAAAAAGACACACAAGCGAAAGCGTTAAAAGCCGAGCGAAATAAGCGGTTGAAGCTGAAATGAGTAGTCACAGGTTGTTGGTTGTTGATTTGTGTTTGTGTTGCGTATTTGGATCTGTTGGAGTTAATAGGTGAGTTTTGTTCTTGATTTAGAGGAGTCATGGTAGAGTGTCTCTACCAAAAATATATTGGGTAGAACGTCAGGTGTCCTATTTATTCGTGTCCTTTTTGTACACGTGTGATTTGCACGTCCCGTCATTCAAAATGATGCAAGGACCGACTTTACACTGACCGAATGCCCCCGGTTTCCCTTGAAGAAAAAACAGCAGCAGCACTCGACTGTGTCACAAATGTCTCCGACTTAAAGAGAGTGTTTAAAAAGAGGAAATTAAAAATCTGAAGGAACGCCGTGGGATCTGATGCTCGTTCCTCTCCGCCGCCTCTTGGCTCGGCGCTCGGCCCGAGAGCGGAGAAGCACTCTGGAGACGAGGCGTCGCTGTGCGGTTTGCAAGATCGGATCGGGAAAAACTCTCCCCGTCCACATTATCTTTACCGTGCAAAAATCGTCGTTTCTTGGTGGAATCTTTTGCACATCACTGTACATTTTCTGTAATGTAAGTGCATGCAAGTGAGATGCAAGTGTGCATCGAGATGAGATGATCACAGACCTCATAGATGTTGTGTTCTAATTTCCTACCCATCTATCGCCTAAGCCCAACCTCTTCTAACATTCAGGACAAGTGCAGACTAAATGTTAATTATCATCTGAAAGAGATAGGAGAGCTGTAGCTCCCACCAGGAGTTTTTTATAAACGACCCGAGGGGGGGGGGGCTTGACTTTCTCAGGTTTTTATTCACATCATGAAAGCGAAGGGTTGAGACGGCACCCAATTCTGATTCAGTAAACCGTGCATCATGTAGCTAAATGTGATGTCACGTAATCGCTCAAACTCCCACTTCCATTATCGAACCGCCAAAATCGAACCGATTTCCAGCGCCGCGGTTAAGGACGCCGTCTGTCTCCACCACTGGGACCCCCCCCCCCCATCACCCGGGTAGCGCTTGTTGCTAGGCGACCGCACACACCGCTGCTGCCTGTAGCAGCATCGGCTGATGGCTTTAATGTCACATGTAAGTGTTGTTCCACCGCCCTCAGTCCTTTTTTTTTTTTTCGAAAAGAGCTTTTCATTCATTTTTTTTTTCTGTGCGGGAGGATTAGTCTGGATAAAGCTCTTGTCGGGTGGTTTCCAGCTGCTGTGTGTGCCTGTCGTCAACACTTCTCCTCTCAAGAATGACGTATGCATGACGTAGGAAGGAGACTTTGTCAACAGATGAATGGGGGGGGGAACAATGTTACGTGTCCTTTTTCTGATCCGCCCCACATACTCATTGTGTTGCGCTGATGTCGGTTGAACCCCGACTCCTTAATGGTTTCCAGAGCAGCGACCGGCCAACGCACACACGGTGCAAAACAAACCCCACATTCTTCTGCGCACGTGATCTCGTGCGCTGCGACAACAGCAGCCATTGACAACACCGCGTCTACCTTTGGGGGGGGGGGTCATACAATTGAACAATGGAGCTACGAAATGGCAAACCGCTTCATGTTTATGCCCTCAGTTGGTAATTGGGATAAAAACGTTCCAATGTCTCTCCCTCTCTGTCTGTCTTTGAATTGAAGCTGTGAGAAGAAGCAAAGAACACGAGAAGAGAACCATTTGATGGAAGATAAGAAAAAGAAAAAGCAAGAAGAGAAGAAAAAGAAAGAAGGTGCTCAGAAAAAGGTGAGTTTTGACACACTCATCTTTTCATTAGACTTTCCTGCCCACCATCGAATGAAAACACAAGTAAAGTAAAATAACGTGAACAACCGGGTTGGCGTTGGTTCACTTTTCCCTTCAGTGGCTCGCGTGCTTTCAAGGGTTCGGCTGCTGTTATACCTATATATATATATATATACATATATATATATATATATATATATATATATATATATATATATATATATATATATATATATATACACATATATATAGTGTGTGTGTGTCCTCGATCCCTCTTGTCAGTGCTGAGCGGAGCATCTATTTTACTCCCACTGCAGCCACAAGCCCAGCGAACCCGCTCACCCTGCCGAGCAGCAGGGATGAACGTGAACCTTTTAGCATTTCAATAGATGGGCAAAAGCCGTCCCTGAACATTTTGTTCCGGTGGCTCCCGGCCGGTCGCTGAGAACCAGCCGAGGCGACTGGGTGGGATCAGCGTGTTAACATAGGGCCACTTGTACAGTTATTTTTACTTTCTATGGCTTATACATTGATTTCTCTTTTTCTCTTTTCCGCAGGCCACAGAACAGAGAACCAAAGGTGAGTTGTGGCTTCTTACGGTGAACTAAACTAAGCTCCTCTAATTTGATTTTATTTCTTTAGATTTCTTTTCAATTTAAAAACTTTGCTTTGTGTTGGAATGTGTTCCACAATACGGACATCGTATACGTCTGTATCCTCCTAATTAGATGAACGATTCCTGTCCAGGATTGCTTTTTATATTTGAGTTTCCCCTTTGCTCACATCTGATCAATATGGACGTGAAGAAATCTTGATTTCTAGCAAAAACATCTTTCTAACAGTACATCAGCAGCAGGGCGGCTCGTACTACCTGAGCCAGCTGCCTATACGAGACTAATAAGGAGCAGGGGGAAGGTACAGCTGCTCCTCGTGGGCGCCTCCAGCATCCCGAGGAGGGCAGAGGTGAGGAGGAGAACCTCAGGAGAGCGAGAGAACCACCAAACAAACCTTTTAAAAAACAAAAAAAAAGAGCGAGAGAGAAAGAAGCAAATGAAGCCGACTCGGGTTGAGTTCAGCTTGCAGGTCTCGCTGCGTCCGCTTCGCTTCCCCCGAGCCGGAGCTCCTAATGGCCGCACAGAGAGAGAGGCGGGTGGGCGATGTTAGGCGGTCGCTCGCCCCCCCCCCCCGGCAGCGGATCTCCTGGACGAGCCGGCAGATGGGACTTGATGTGTGTGTGTGTGTGTGTGTGTGGGGGGGGGGAAATCTGATTAGACCTTTTGGCAGGAAGCGGAGGGGCACCTAATCACGCTGGGCCCACCTGGACGCATTTGGTCCGTGTGAGTTTGGGGGGGCCGGTGTTGCTCAGAGGAGCACCTCTTAGTACGTAGTCCCGTGAACTCTTCTCTGTCCGGGCTCAAGGAGGTAATGAGGTTGTAATGTCACACAGCCCCCCCCCCCCTCTGACCCCCTATCCCTCTCCTCTGAGGCACTTTCATCCCCTCACAGTACGTCGCACTAATGAATGTGATCTGGGTTTGGCAGCGTTCGCGTTCCTTTTGTCTCTTATCTACTTTGTGGGTTTTTTCTCACAGCATCCACACATTGACCCGTATTCGCTACCCGTCGCCTTATCTTCAAACTAGGCTGAGATCCGGAACTATATTCTTGGCTTCTGCTCATGAGGGCGACTTGCCTGATTTCACTGTGATCCTGAACATCAAGCTTGACTTTGAGCATATTGAACATATTTGTGTACATATTTATGATCATGTCCATCGGTTTGTTTCCTGTATGACTGCTGTTGTTCCCACTTGACTATTTATAGGATTTTTATAACTAAAACACGTTGATTATTATTGTTTCATTCAGACGTATAGAAGGATATTTCCAGATCGCAAATCTTCATGAATATTTTTGTGATTTTTGAGTTCTTAATGATTGTAGACAATGGAAAAAATATATACATATTATTATTATTTTTAATTCCCCTTTTAGCGGAGTATATATGACACTAATGAAGGGTACGCTGGGAACTAATTAGGAGAAGGTTGCGAGCGCGTGGGCCGAACAAACATGCGTCCGTGCGCAGGAGATCTCCAGTGAGACCCTGAGCACCATAGTAACACTACACCACCTCCCGTCTCGTCCAGCGGAGGGGCCCACTCTGGGACCAGCGGGAGGGGAAGAGGGAGCAGACGAAGAAAGCGGGCAGGAAGCAATGAAACTGGGCTGAATTGTGTTGGTTCAATCCGTGCAAAGTGCAGCGAGGCAGCCGCTGCAGCACGTGGGCCCCGTCTGAGGGAGGCGGCAGGAGGGCAGGCGGGAGCAGCAGAAACAGACGGAGCCATGGTGCAACTGTGAGAAGGCCGGTTTCCTGTTAGCCGGGCGGCCGAGGGGCCCTTTTGTGGGATAGTTGCGCTGGCTCACCTCTCAGACACACTCTCACTCCACCAGGCCTCTAATACGACAAACACCAGCGGCGCACACGCATGGTTTTACAAGTTTAAGAAGTCATTTCACAAGACATTTTACTGTATACGTATCGTACCTAATTCATTATACAATGACTATTGAATCGCTCCCTCAAGAAATGCCCAGATAAATGAGCCGAGCTGATATTTTTGGGGACTTTCACAGCTATTGTTTACAGCAACAACTAGAGTTCCTTTTTAAGGAGTTAATTGTGTCTTTTCATGCTCCGTTATTTTCATTTTCATCACGGAGCACCACATGCATACACAGCCAAACGCACCTTTACATTGCACCATGAAAGATAATATTATTATAAAGCAGTGCCGCGGCAGTCACTTCATAACAGATTAATTTGCCGTTTCACGTCGGCTTAATTACGCCCGGCGCTCTGTGTCGGCGGGTCTTAAATTGCGGCGTGATCAGGGTGTAATTTATACCGGCGAGCCGCCTCTCCTTCGCGTCGCTGGTGCAGACGAACCGCATTGTAAAGAGCAGCGCGGGTAACACAGGATGTTGCTGTGAAGAAGCGTTACGCTATAAATTGTTCATATGTGAGCCGTCATTAAATATGTCTTTCCGAGCACGGCGTTATCCGGAGGGCCGCACAGATTATGAATAGTGGATTTGGTTCTGGAGCCTTTTAAGTGATAAGTATTCACTTTCTTTTTTGCTAAATACGGTGGGTGTGTTTATCTTACCGTAAGTGGTGAGTTAAAGGGTGTTACGAGAATTCCTGGAGCTGTCAGTAAAGTGAGGTGTGGAGGGCGGATCTATTCGTTTTGGGTGCAGGATTTTCTATATATATATATATATATATATATATATATATATATTATAGAGGGAGAGCAAGTTACAGAGTGCAAATCTGGGGTCATGCAAGAAAAAATAGTAAAGTGGTATTCTGAACAAGGTCAAAAAGGTCACTTTGAATAAAACATTTAAAAAATAAAATAAAATAAAATAAAATATATATATATATATATATATATATATATATATATATATATATATATGTATATATATCCAATATGATTTCTTTTCGGGGGAAAAATAAAGTGCTGCCTCTTCCAGTTACTGTATGAAGCCAATAACGCCGCCTCCTCTCTGTGGATTGCGTTGGCGCTGCGTCCTCGCTCTCTTTACGCATCGCCTCCTCTAAATGCAAACAGACGGGGGAACCTCGGTCGCCCGCAGCTTTTTTCGACACAAAGTCCCGGGACGGGAGCGACGTCTCCTGAGAGAGCAGCGGGCCTCTGATCTGCCCTTTCTGCGCGTGGACAACCGCTCGGGTCGGTTAAACTGCTACTGAAAGACGAGCGTCGCTCGTGAGAGAAGTGCGTTGCAGCGGGTTGACCCGCTCCGGTGTGCCGTTCTGTGGCTCCGTTCACATATCTGGTTACCATTTAATAAAAACTCTGACCCACATAGCCGTGTTTTTGTTTTTTTGCCCCGTCCGGTCCTGCTTTTAAATAGCAGTTTTGTCTGCATCGAATGCGAGGGAAGATTTTCTCTCTTAACTACAGTGTCACATTTATTCACTTCTAATTAAGTCTTTTAATCTTCCATCTTGCTCACTGCTCACATTTTAAAGCCCAGAGGAGAAACGATAAAAACCCTAAAGACTTGCCTTCCTTCCTCGCTCATCATTCGCAGATTCTCTTTCTGTTGCGTCTGATAAAGATCCAGACATTCCCATGTTTTCTTTTTGGCTTCAATTAGAGCAATTTAGTGTGACACCATACTTCAAGATTAAGCATGTATCAATGACATGAATACACATTGAAAGGCTGTATTCACATTTTTACTCCATAGAAAGGACACGTTTATGTCTTGTTGTCTGTCGCACTGTTGATACAGAGTTGATAATTGTGCTGCCATTCTATTACCACAATTCAGATTCGATTAAAGTAACAATATGTCGATTGGGGCGTTTGTAACAGCTAACCTCGGACATTAAGCTGCATAATTAAAAGTTTAGCTACACAACGCTTATAGTCGCTAACAAACGGAACCTTTTCGTGCATCTCATCTGTGTTCACTCAAAGGCGATGCTCTGCTTTGATTATCGGAAAGTAGAGTCAGCGCCGTGCTGTTATTAAACCTCCGGGTAGACGAGCACTGATATTATTGGAGTCAGAGGCGACTCAAAGTTCAGTCAGGCAACTTGGTTACCAGCACAATTAAGACCCCTTTTTTTTAAGTGAAAAATTAGCTGTCTTTCTCTGCGGGAAGCGCACGAGGCCCCTGAGCCGCGGCTCCATGTGCATCTTTGATGAACTGTGAATTCTCCTGTGCAGCCGAAGACTTTGTTTTTGCAAATCGGCTGTCAGAGCGAGTGACTTAGATCTGTCTCTCTTTACCCTGCTTCACTTCTTTCTACAAAAGCACCGCCTCGTGAGACTCGCGGCTTATTAACAACCTCTCTGATGCCAAAAGGTTTTTGTTTGTTCTCCTGAATCCTTTTCGTAATCCGATTTTCCCAATGAAAACAAACGCAATAATTAGAACATTTTTCTTAATAGTGCATCAGCGACTTTCATGTCACCTAATGTGCAGGACTCGTGTTGTTGTTGTCCTGAGAAAAACAATTCTGTGCAGCATTGCATACTATAGTCAGATAGTGTTTTAATTGTGAGCGGATTTAAACTAAAGCTGGTTTCAGGCAGGGGGGGTGGAGACGGACACACACACACACACATACAACTCTCTTCATCACCCTGCCTGCTCTACCTCCTTCCCCCCCCTCCCCCCGGTGTCCAGGAGTCTACGCCGAACATCAGACGCACCAAACTATATAGCCATTGCCTTCATGGCTGCAAGTATAAATTGCGGCACAGACGCAAAGTCCTCTGACTTTAGGAGGAAATCAGCCGCAGACGGAAACGTGCACAGACAAACGAGAAGTACTTATTTATGAGCGAGCGTGTCTTTCGGCCTTTACAGGGCTGTGAAAGTATATTCTGCGACACCATCCTGCCCAGTCCCCCCCCCCCCCCCCACCCCCCTCGCCGAGGGCTTCGTGATTGCATAACTGTGTGTTTGTGTGCGTCGGGCTGCCTGCATGTGTGTGTGTTTTTCACTGCACACACACACACACGCGGGACTGCAGCCAATGTTGAAGCACCGCTCTTTAAAACTCATTTCAGCCACACAAAGAATTTCTTTTCGCCTTTCGGTTGCTGTCTCGACAAGCCACTCCCCCCCCCCCTTTAGACTCCTCTTTCTGTGTTTTATTACCTGCAAAGACTACCTCTATTATACCTTTGGGTGCACACACAGTCCGATCAGCTGCTTGGGTTTGTTTTCCAGCGGTTCGTGGAGGTTTCAAACACCTTTTCATGTGTCCTGTTTACATTCTAGTTTATCAGATCAGTCTATTACGTAATGAGATGTTCTGAGGCGATTACCCCGCGCGCTTCGTGTCCCATGATGCATCTCAGCCAGCAGCGAGCTCGGAGTGAGCTGATCCTCCTGCTCAACTTAGTGGTGACCTCTGACCTTGCACTTCCACATTCATCTACAAGATATTAGCCGCCCCTGTGGCTTTACATTTGAGGTTGATTTGTTTTGCCGTTGTTTACAAAGACAATAAATGTGACATTGCTCGTCTTTTACCATGCAGATTTAAATGTGGAGCGGGCCTTTTTAAAGTGGCTTTAATCCCCCCAAAAAAGATCTGGAAATATCTGAGCTAAAAGAGACCAATAAACAAGAAAAAATTTCTTTGTAACTGTTGGTTGTATAAATACCTGACTGTTTGTTAATGCGTTTGAATGTCAATTTTTCGTGCCTGAGCGGAGTAAAATCACAATCTGTTGCTACGGGTAACAAGCTGGTAGGATCTAACGGCTTAGGTGATCATTTTGAGGGCCATAACCCGGCACAGAGCTTACGTTGAACACTTTGCTGACAATAGCCCTCAATAATGTCATCATTATCTGGTACACAATGTTTTATTGCAATAATCAGTCAAAAAATAGTTTTGGCACAAGTATGCGCTCAATAACTCTGCTTTTTCCTAATGCTCCTTTTTACCTTCCTCATCCCTGTGTTCCTCCCCCCCCCACTCCCCCTACCCTCTCCACAGTGCCAGACTCTGCCAGGCGAGACCCCACCCCTCCTCTTCCCCCCATCAGCCCCAGTGCCGTCCCGTCTGCACCCCCGAGCGGTGGCAATGGCAAGCGCGCCCCCTCTGGAGGTTCAGCCGCAGACAGCACAGCAGCCGCAGAACCTGCTCCAGCAGCGCTACCCGCCGAGAGAGGTGCCGCCGCGCTTCCGCCAGCAGGAGCACAAGCAGCTGTTGAAGAGGGGCCAGCCTCTGCCCGCCGGGACCCCGCCTCCCACCACCACGGGACGTCCCGCCGCTGCTGAACCCGCGGCAGCGGTAGCCGCGCTCTCCTCTCTCGCCGGCTCCTCGTCCTCCACAGCCAGCCTGCCTACAGGTCAGCGAGAGACTCTGTTGGCGAGATGCGAGATCTCTGCGGTTTTTAATGGGAATGCGTTTAATGTGCACTGAAAGCGTTCATCTTGAAGCACCACAGTGGGGTGCATGAGGCTTGGAGGTTGTTGTGAACTGCTTTCATTATATTTAGTTATGTGACTTTTCCTTTGCTTAGAGTGGATTTTTTGGGGGCACCTCTTTCTGACAGCGGTCTGATGTATTACTGCTGTGCACAGTGGTGGTGGTCGTGTTTTTGCTTAATGGCGTTGTTGAATGGCGGTGCCTATACGTCTACCTTTTGTATGGAACTGAGATTGTGACAGGGCAGTTTTTACCTCAGGGGCATTTTGAAGGCACTTGCATCCAAGGGGCTGCTGTTTAGTCTGCCTATTTGGGAAATATAAATAAAGAGTACAGAGGATGCAAAGTAAACCCAGCTGCCCCCCCCCCCCCCCTCCCCCCTCTCTCTCTCTCTGTATTTCCAAGTGTGGGTCTGTTTTTATTAAAGTGCCATGTGCTTTTGATGACTAAGATGTCCAACATTATTTTTAGAGCACTCTGCACATTTCATTGTCTGGAAAGAAAAAACTAATTTTTTCTAAGTGTGTCTGAGAACTGTAAAACCCCTCCGATGCTTTTTGAAGGCCGCTCCATCTCCATGGCGATGAGATGTTTTCCCTGACCTTTCTCCTCCCACTCATAATAATAATCATCATCATCATCGTCACCGTCCTCCCACTCTCCGTGTAGCGTTGCTGACCAGCCCCACAGTATTTCCTGTGTATCGGAGGAGGAGCCACAGGGAGCAAGCTGGTTGGCCGGGGCGCCTCAGTGGGCTTGACCTGGCACCGACATAAAGACCGAGTGGAGAAGGAAAGAAAAAAAGCAGGAGAGAGCGAGCATGGCAGAGGTCCAGTACTGTGGGCTGCAGTGACTCACGGCTTACGGTAAAAAGCTGCCGCCTCTCTCTGGCAGGCCGGCTGCGCTCTGCTTTTCCTCTCCGTGTGTCTTTGAACCTACTGATTACATTAGGGCCGACAGGAGATCCTTCCAGGCTGGGAGACGGGAGTGTTTGGTATTCCTCGCCACAGACTGCACGCTGAACTGGTGCACGAGGAGTTTTTTTTTTGCACGGCACAAACTAGTTTAAAAACCTCACAGCTCAGCGATGTTATGTAAGACGCTACAGGTAAACGCCTCCCTGCTGCTGTCCCGACAGCCTCGTCTATACTGACAAAACTGTCTCTGTTGTCCCTTCCCATATTATTTCTTGCAGATAACAGTGGAAGCATTCATTCACTCCTCCTCCCCCCCCCCCCCCCCCCAACCCCCCGTCTTCCGTTACTCAGTCAGATGTTGGTTTTCCCGGAAAGCCTGGCTGATCAACGCGGCCCGCTTGTCCACATGCGTGCGTGGACATGAGAACACGGGCGCCCTCCCCTCTGCAGTCTCTGCCGTCCCTGCAGGATTGTAAGCGTCTCCTCAAGCGAGCAGCAGCCACCGCTGGTGGGACTTTAGTCCCCACGGTGCCGATTCCACATATGTTCGAATCAAGTTAGCTGGTAATCCTATAACGTATTGGCTGTAGCAGTAACGATTTATAGCCCCTCCCTATCCGCGTTTATCTAAAACTCCTTGAAGCACAGATCAAGATTTTATACTCTCCAAGCAGAGCAGAGGCCAACGACAACAAATGTTCATTAAAAACAAGCCCCGTCTAGCGCAAACAGTGCAGCTAATGTGTTAATGGCTTGTCTAGGGGAACTGAGTGTGTGCACGCTGGACTTGACGCTCTCTAAAGTCTGCTGATGATGCTGTAAAAAGAGCCCCGGGAATCCTCTCCCCGAGAGGACCGGCTCGTCTCGTCTCGTGATTAAACATCATCTCTGCTCACTCGCTCTCTGAGCTCGGTGTTTCCCCGATGCGCATGTCCCTCGCCTCCTCCACCTCCGCCGCACACGCCGCCCGCGTTGCCTCCGGGCCGCGCACACTATAATGTCGGCCTGTCGATCCGCCCATTTGTTGAGGCCTTCTTGCGGCGCTGCTCTTTGCTGCTATGCCAGGGCCCTTCCATGTAGGCGGCGTGAGAGAGAAGGCTATTTTAAGAGCGGCGTGCTGAAGAAAGCCGCTGACCTGGTTTATGCTTTAGAATAAAGCAGGCCAACACGACCACCAGATGTCTTCTTACGTAGACGTGTACTTCTTACTTCTGTCTCTGCCCCTCTGTTAGGATCTGCCCTTGAGATAATAACAGCATTGCATTAACACAAAGGAAGCATCCATGAGAAAACTACGTTTCTTGCAAATATTTCTGTACAGTCCGTGTAACTGAGCAGCTGTTGTTTGTTCCAGGATGAGTCCAACAAACTATCTTTGCCTCTTTAGCATATTCCCTAAAGTAGCAGTAACAAGAGGCTGCCAAGTGTTATGTTTATTCTGGGCCTGCAAGAAATGTCGCGGGTTTGGCTGCTCCAGTACCCTTCCACATACAATATCTCATTTGCAGCAGTGTATTATTTGCTTGCTAATGGGTCTCTAGAATAAAGCTTTGAAAAACTGAAGAGACAAAAAAAGGGATGAAAATTTGTGGTTGCACAACATAAAAATAATTGAACTATTGAATCCCTGCAGTTGGTAAAAGATCGGATCGGATTCTTACATAATCTCAGCTGCTGTAACGTAAGTAAAATACATTGTAATTGAAGTTGAAATTGAAGTTTAATGCTGAAATGCAAATACATTTCGGCGTCTAACCAATGGTCAGTATGCGCAGTATTTTCTTATGTTCATCGATTAACTGTTATAGCTATTAAATGTAAAAGTATTGATAAATAGCCATTATATTTTCTAAAGTTCATGCGGACCGACCAAAATTTATTTGTTTTTCTGACAAAAAAAAGATGTTCCTTTTATCATTATTTACTGTAAAATCAACAAAATATCAAATCTGCTGAGAAGAAAAGAACCAGTGAAGTTTGGCCTTTTCTGCCTGAAAAAATTACAAGCAAAAAATGATGACTCAATTATCAATTCATGCAGCTGCCATCGATTGAATAATCAATCGTGAGGTGAGGATGAGATGATAGTCGACTGCTGGCTGGCAGCATGCCCATCCACTCTGCACGGCCCCTCGGGGGGGGGGGGGCTTCATTAGGCCGAGGGCAGTCCAGCTGAGGGCACACAGCCCTGCTACATCACTTTCTCCTTCCATCCATCAACATCCTTCTTTGTATTTGTATTCCCGGTGATCCTTTTTAGCCTGACCCCTTGCCCCCCCCCCCCCCGCTCTTGGCTAGTGTGTATGTAGTGTGTATGTAGTGTGTATGTGGCCACACGGTAGATGCGATGTACACACTGTGTGCATGTGAGCACACAAAAGAGCGTCCATGCAGCAGCATGGCATGACCTCACCGCGTGTTAGGAGCTCACAGTGGAGGGGCACCGGGGGGGCTGAGCCTCGGCCATAAAGGGATTCTGTTCTCTACAAAACATGGACTTGTTGTTTTGTTGCGTGGGCGCTGCGATCATTTGTAAACAATACCGGCCTTGATCCAGAGGACTGCTGCGCTTTTTTTGTATTTCCTTTTCTTTCTTTCCTTTTTCTTTTTGCGGGGCTCCCAGCCACAGTTTTCCTCCTCCGTTCGTGCCTTTTTTAAAAGTAGGATGCATATATTCCAGATCCATAGGAGTTCGTTTATTTCATTTCCTTCCTATGATGTGAGGGTCGGAAGAGCCCCACATTACAGTTTTGTTTTACTTCATGCCTCGTGAGTGCAACGGTGAACATCTTCGTTCAGCTGTTCAACCAAACACACACACACACACACTAATACTACCCCTCCCACCTCCCTCACTCCACACATCTCTCCAACGCTCCCTTCCCCCAACCAGCGTTCTTTCAGTGCTTTTCCGGAGAGGGAGAATATCCTCGGTCGGGATAGGAATAGAACATGATATAAATAAAGCCAGAGGGAGGCAATATATAGAATAGAGAGACCCAGCCGAAGCAACATTGGCGGGAGGGACTGGGCATGAGGGGTGCGGAAGGAAGGGGGGTGGGAGGGTTTGTCTCATGCCGCGCAAGAGCTGTGCAACTTCTTGGCAGCATTTCAAAAATGAGCCTCAGAGGCTTGGCGAGCCGAGCAGACATATTGAAACAAGGATGGTCCCTACGTCGCACAGAACCCGGCTCTTTGCAGGATGGTTGGGAGGCGCCTCAACGCGGGTATTTTTTCTTTTTTACTGCTCTTTCATTATCTTCAGTTCTCTTCAGCCGCCCTGTTTTGTTTCTCTCTCTCTCTCTCGCTCGTCTTGCATCTGCTCTTTTTTTGCTGGCTTGTATTTACACACTGAGCAGATGAGCACTTTTCCAAATGCCAAAGCTGCAGCGGCGGTGCACGCAGTGCCGAGTCTGCTTTCTGCTTCGTGAGACGGGCAGCGGTGAAGATACCGGCGGTAGCTCGCAGCCTTTTTGGCTTTGGTTCAGCACTGAGAAAATGGCGGTCCTGCACTTCTCACTGGAGAGACGCTACAGAGCGACAGTGCACTTTTCCCCCCACGTGCCTCCCCCCCCCCCCATCTGACTGCCTCTTCTCTGTGCTTTAGGTGCAAGCATTTGTGTGTGCTGTCACTTCCCTCACGCACAGGAGTACAGTCAGGGTCTTTGCATGCAAACGTAAACAAGCCACTGCAGCTCCGGGGGGGGCAGAAATGGGGCAATGAGGCTGCAGCGGGTTGATCAGTGCCGCAGTAATGATCTGCAAACTGGGCTTAGTTAAGACCATCCATAAGCAACGTGGAGCTTGCTCAACTCACTCCATGGGAATCCGAGAGAAATCAGCCACAGCATCTTTTTGGCTTGTCAGAGCAGTTGTATGGGCAGATGGAGGCTGACGTGTCGGTGAGGAGACAGGCTTCCCGGGGGGGCGGTGCAGACTAGGGCTTCATGTCAAGGAGAGGTCATACTGGAGGGAGGGGGTCAGAAGAGAACAATGACGTGGCTGCATGACTCCTGTCATTGGTCACATGCGTTATTGGGGTTCCAAATATTCTTCTTCATCTTCTCCTTTTCTTGGGGTGAGCTGTTAGGAGTATACGGTGCCTGGCTTTTAGAGCTTCTCTTTTCATAGGTGCCAAGTGCATGCATCGTCTCATGACCTCCATTGAAGATTTGAGATTATGTAGTCGAGTCTATTTTTTATTAAAATTGAGTCCTTTTTTACTTAACATAGCACCTAAATGTGGTCACTGTTATTGTTTCTTCTAGTGGTGCATGCATCCAAAGTGATCTAAAGGTCTTGTTTTTGGAGCTAAGAAGCATTTTAAAAAGCTTAAGCAACACAATATGTTCTCATCTTACCTTTGTTACATCAGGGAGTGCATACATCCATTTATTTGCCAATTAAAGCTACCTCTGCTAACATATTCGTCATTTACTGTGTGTTTGCATATTTTGTGTGGGTGGTATTTATTTGTATTAATGAAGCATCTTTTGAAGTCTAAGCATACATCTTATATGTTGCCATGGTATTTCAACCTTACTGAGAATATGTGGGTGTGATGACGTACATAGCTTACACCTCTTTTCTCTCATCATCATCCTATCTTTTTTTCTTTCCTGCCCTACAGAACTGCCCCCACAGAGAGGCCAGGGAGCGCAGTATGATAATCCCCTCTGGGGAAACCCGCCAGCCAATAGGAGTGCCACAAGTGCTTCCACCAATCCTAGTGACTGGGATCAACTAATCACTGACCAGAAGGAAACGGAGGCTTGGCCTTCTATTACCCTCAGCCAGAGCCAGGCCCCTCCAGGAGGATGCTCTTCGGACACTGACCCTGGTCACCTGGCCAGCAGCAACAGCAGCAGCAGTAGTACTAGTAGTAGTTGTAGTACATTGAATATGGCCTCGGGGGCTAATAGCCAGACAGGCCATTTTCCTGCCAACCACCTTAGCAGCAAGGTTAACAGTGGGCCCAGCCCAGCCAATCATACTGGAACCAGCATGCTCTCTAGCCCGGTTGCAGCTAATTGCAGCTGGGGCTCTGGGCCTGGATCCTCTCATTGCCCCCCTCAGTCCTCAGTGGGGGGCGAAGGGAAGAATGACAGCCCTGGGGGAGCGGGAGGCAGTAGGGGCTGGGGGTCGTCTTCATCATCCTCCAACACCAACTTTAACTTGAACCTAAACCCTAACGCCAACCCGTCCGCCTGGCCCATGTTGGGACACGATGGGGTTGGCACAGGGGGAGGCAGCTCAGGAGGAGCCAACACCATTTCACCTCCTCAACCTACACCCAACCTCTGTAATCCGCCTGGCCCCCCACCAGTCCAGACCAGCAGCTGTACCGGAATCAACGCTAACAGCTCTGCGGGGATTGGCAGCGCCTGGGGTAGCTTAATGACCTCTGACAGTCCGGAGCCACACCCCTCCCCATCCACGAATGTGTCTTTCAGTTCAGAACCTCAGAACCTTAAAACTGACGGACCAAATCACACTAATAAGCAGGAACCCCCCAGCCCCATCCGCAATTTGCCTGGCTGGGGTAGTGAACCTGTACACTTGGGTTCCATGGACCAGACACCCTCAGGGGGCCAGCAGGTCAATGGAGAAGATAATAGCTCAGTATGGGGAAACAGTGGTGACTCGAAGGCACCTTCATCCAAGGAGGCGCCTGGATGGGACTCTGGCTGGGGCCGTGGAGGTGGAGCAGGAAACTCTGGGGGCTGGGGTGACCAGTCTGGTGGAAGCTGGGGGAAACCGCGCACTGAAGAGGCCCAGGGAGGCTGGGCGGCCCCTGGCTCTCCTCCCCAGGATCCACAGGCCACCCCTTGGAACAGAGCAGTGAGCACAGCTGCTGCAAGTGAAGGGAGCAGTGACAGCATGGAAGCACAGCCCCCGCACAGAGACTCCTCGTCAAGAGATAACCCTGCTCCTCCGCTGCCTGCCCAGGACTTGGACCCCAGGGTGCTGTGTAACACCGGCTGGGGACAGACCCCTGTTCGCCAGCACACCACCTGGGACATGGTCAAGTCTAAACGCAAGAATGATGCGGCTGCCGATTCGTGGGGCTCCGGCCCAACCACTCCAAATGACGCTCAGGGGCCCGCCAGCATTAACATGGCCCCCTCCAGCATTAGCGTGGGCCCCTCCAGCACTAACATGGGCCCCTCTCAGAGGGCTGATCCTGGGGGTCAAAATGATATGCCTGGTTCTCAGGTAGCTTCAGGTTGGGGTGGAGGCATAGCTGCCAACAACCCACCTATCGCCGGCTGGGGAGAGCCAGTCAACAACGTTAAGCCCCCAGGTGGCCCTGGTGGATGGGGCAATCCGCCAACAGGAGCCCCCACACCCAGCGTACCCAAGAATGGAGGTCAATCCTGGGCAGAAGAGAAGCCAACTGGGTGGGACGATTCTCGCAGCAAAGCAACATCCCAGGGCTGGGGAGAGCAACCCAAAGCATCCCATAGCTGGGGCAATGGTGGAGGAAGCAATAACCCAGGTGACTGGAGAGAACCAGAGGAGAGCAAAAAGAATCCCACCAAGCCGGGCTGGGAGGGAGAAGCAGGGGGCTGGAAGGAAAATCAACGAAGTTGGGGAGGATCTTCTTCAGGACCTGTGACACCCGGAGCTGGAGGAAATGGGGGCTGGGCGGAGACAGCTTGCCAGCGTCCCAGTGGCCCTGCCCAAAGCTGGGGGGCCAAGCCTCAGGATGGACCCGGCGGTAGTAGTGCGGCAGGGAGCATGGGCTCTTGGGCTGGATCGGGCTCGGTAAAGCAGGGTGGAAGCTGGGCCGGCAGTAAGAAGGAGTCTTCTGCTCCACCCACAGGCTGGGAAGAGCCCTCCCCACCTTCAATCCGCCGTAAGATGGAGATAGATGACGGGACCTCGGCTTGGGGCGACCCAGTTAACCACAGAAAGTCAGTCAACCTGTGGGACAGGAACAATCCAGGAAAGTCCCAGGCTAAAGTTACCACTGGAGGCAATAACCCCCCGGGCCCCAACAACAACCATTCCCACCCGCACAATCACCCCTATCAAGGGCCACCTGCCCCTTTACAGAACCACACCCCAAATCCCCCAAACCCAGGACCCAGCAGTGGGCCCATGGATCCTGTTGTCCAACACCAGTCGGGGCCATCTCACAACAGGAGTCCCTTAATAGCTCAAGGTGAGATTCCATGTGTAATAGTGGCACTTAGCACACAGCTGGTCAGATTCATTTAACCATAGAGAACTAATTCTTTTCATTTTCTTTTTTTTTCTTTTTTAAATAACATAACCAAGCATTTCTCTTTTCCTTTCCACCATTCATAGTAAAGGTGTCAAACATGAAAGCTGGATGTTTAGTTAGCACTGTTAAGCTCCAATCTCTTGATCCACTTAAAGGTAAAATCTTGACCTAGTTCGCCCTCTTTGGATTTACATCTAATCGACTATCCAAATGAGTTAATCAGGGCCAGCCCATCCCTCCACGAGGCTCCTCACATTTCACAACAACACACGTCCGTGGGGAGGCCGGGGGGGTGAGGGGGAGCAGTAACCCTGGTACCCTCAAATGGTTCCCCGAAGGAAGCACAAGAATGCTGTTTACACAGTGCCTCGGGAAAATGGAGATTCACCACTAACCGTTTGAGAAGGATCGGAAGTGTGTGATTATATGGGAGCCGCCATCTGTCAGTTGATTGAGGGAGGAGGAGGAGGAAGAGGAGGAGCAGCAAGGCCTTGTAGAAGCTTTAGAAGGAGCCGACGCCCCCTGCTGTCCCTCACATTGGATTGTTTTCCTTTCGCAGTAAAACCTGATAGCTGGCCCTTTAGAAGCAATACGGGCTGCCGTGCGTAGACCAGGCTAAGGACAAAGAACGATAATTCCAATATACTATTTATAACTAATGGCATGCTGTTTAAAAAGAATTAGCTCGTTCCATTATGCCTTCATTAGAGTGGTCTTGGGCTACGGCCGGTCGTACTAGAAGGTTGAATGTTTATTATAATTTTAGAGAGAAAGAGGGAGAGCGCTGCCTCGGCCACAGGCCCAGACGGTGCTGCGTCGCTCACGTCAATAGGAGACGGGCCAACTCTTAAATGGGTATCTTCTCTCTCTGTTAATGAGCTACATTTCATTCACACCCCAAAACGGAACAATATCATTTCACGCGTTTGTTGGTGTTAAGGCCATTTGAAAAAAAAAACGTGTTATGCAGTGCTTTTAGGTCTGCTATAAAAACATTTTCAGCATTTCTAATGTCCTTGTGTGCCCTTTAAGGTTGGGGAGAGACATCCAGCTCTCACACAAAACCAGAGAGCACTTGGGGGGAAGCTGCACCCGCTCCAGTCAGCGTCGACAACGGGACGTCTGCCTGGAGCAAATCTAGTGGGGGTTGGGGGGACAGCAACCCGGACGGCTACGGCAGGGGCAACCTGACGATGACATCCGCATCGTGCAAACCTGGTAAGTAGCTTAACTCTCTATATATAGATATATATATATACTCTCTACTCTCTCTCTCTATATATATATATATATATATATATTTACAAATTAGTCCCAAACAAATGGCTCCACTGCGGAATAAATAGTTGAACAGCTCCCAAGTCAATCAGGGTCATCAAAATGTAAAGGGGATCCACACTGACCCCCAGTGGCCATTTGCGATTACTTTTAGATTGTAATGTGCAATTTTTAGTTGTAAGTATTTAACCGGTTCTTAGTTATGAACATCGTAACGTTTGCATGACGCCATTGTCAAAGTGGATGTCCTGCTTGCTGGATGGTTTACATCCTCTCGCCGTGTTTTCCAGGTCCCAAACCTATGCAAGACGGATGGGGAGGTGGAGGCGAAGAGCTGAGCGTGACGGGCGGTCAGTGGGACGCCGAGGAGGGAGACATGTGGAACAGCGTTGCGTCCCAGGAGAGCAATCCCTCCTGTAACTCCTGGGGCAACGCATCTAAAAAGGGCCCACCGAAGGTAAGACGAGAGAAGGCCAAAAATGACATTTCTTTTTTTTCATAGTCAAATATTACTGACACAGTGCGGTAATGCCGATGTCCTGTCATCAGCTCTCCCAGGCAAAGGTCCCGGGGAAGCAAGAAGATGCGTGGATGATGAATCGTCTCATCAAACAGCTGACGGACATGGGCTTCCCTGTGAGTTGAAGTGACAGTTAACCGCTCCGCCGCCCTCTGAGCGATTCTGAAGACGCCGTTCTGTTCGCAAAGCGCCCGGTTTTGCGTTGATTTGTTTCTATAGTTTGTAACGATTTCTGGGTCATTCACCAGAGAGATCCGTCAGAAGAGGCTCTGAAGAGCAACAACATGAGCCTGGACCAGGCCATGAGCGCCCTGCTGGAGAAAAAGACGGAGCTGGACAAGCGGGGGATGGGAATAACCGGCCACGACTACAACGGGCTCATCAACAAGCCCATGAGCTGCCCTCGGCCTCCGCTTCTTTCCAAAGACCACTCGACAGACCCCCGCTTGCCCTTCATGGAAAAGGTAATTCAGTCCATGACATAGAAACAAACTGTGTATTGAAATAGTTTAGAATTTGAGTGTCAGTAGGAAATATTTCACTGTAAAAGTTGATAACAAGGTTAAATGTTAAATTGATTGTCATTTTACATTTTACAATGAGACACCTTAGAATAACCCTATTTTACTAAAGTGTAATTATCATTTAGTTGTCTGGTTAAAAGGAATATATATTCTTTGTGCACAGGATGAGACAAATCAACAACGCATAAACTAGTTTCTCACAGCCTCGCCTTCTGCTGTTGCAAAAGAAAGAAAAAGTTGTCATTAATAACATTGATATCACTTTTAATGCATAGTTATTTTGTGATCTCCATTATCGACTCTAAATGCAATTTTTGACATTTCAAACTCACGCATGTGGACCGTTTCGAGATCACTGTAGTGGCATAGATGAACGGAAACTGATAAGGAATAAAGAACACAATGTTTGACGTTGCCGTCGTCCATTCCAGCAAATGCAGAGTGGAATGTTTGGCGGTGGTGGAGCAGTACAAGCCCGGGCCATGCAGCAGCAGCAGCAACAACAACAACAACAACAACAGCAGCAACAGCCGCCTCCTCAGCCTCCTGTGCAGCCTCTCAGTTCCTCTCAGCCCAGTCTGCGTGCTCAAGTGCCTCAGTTTCTGTCCCCTCAGGTAAAGAAGCACATATGTATGCATGTATGTATGTATCTATACATATGTATTTTTGTATGTGTGTATACACCAGCCTAATTACTCTCCTATTATATAAGTGCATACTAGGCATTTTAATCGATGCATTGATAAATCTGTTATATTCAGATTGCAGTCTTTAAAAGCATCTCCATTGAGTTTAGCATTTATTATTTAGCAGTTTAGGACCCTTCAAACTTGACCTAAAACTAATATTTGATACATATATTTTTAGATAAAGCCTTTTTGTTTTTATTGTGTTGATACCTTCAGGTTCAAGCACAGCTCTTACAGTTTGCAGCAAAAAACATTGGTCTGAATCCTGCACTTTTAACCTCACCAATAAACCCTCAACATATGACCCTTCTGAATCAACTTTACCAGCTGCAACTGGTGAGTCGCATTTAGCCATCTCTACTTTCAGTTTAAATACATTAGATACAAAATCTGCATCAGGGCTCAAAGACCAAATCCACCATGAGCGTTTCCTTTTTTTTAAGGTTATTGTAGCTTTTTTATTTCGTGAGTGACATCTTCTGACATTGCCCCCGTGCCTCCTGCTGATACACAGGCATACCAGCGTTTACAAATTCAGCAGCAGATGTTGCAGGCGCAGCGCAACGTTTCTGGCCCAATTCGACAACAAGAGCAGCAAGTGAGTTTTCCTCCACCCCCCCTCTCCCTTTTCCGTCACTCTAATCACTACTACTTATTTTTACATAATACAAGCTGACTATGCTTTTAAAGGTAGCTTGCGACGTAACCCCTCCACATCATAGATCCCAACCACTGCGATGTCATCACAGGTCGCGCGTACAATCAACAACATGCAGCAGCAGATCCAACAGCACCAGCGTCAGCTGGCCCAGGCCCTGCTGATGAAGCAGCAGCAACAGCAGCCGCCCCCCTCCCACTCTGGCCTGCACCCCGGCGGGCCCAAATCCGCCCTGGACTTATTTCCGGGTCACCCCCACGCTGCGGGCCTCCACGACCTGCAGACCAAAGAGCCGCAGTCATCTCCCAACTCCTACGGCCCCTACTCTCTCTGTGAGTGGCTCGTGGCTTTGAATGGCGAACCGCAAAAAAGCGCCTGGTGGGCTCGCGTCGTAACCGCTGTCTGTCTCCTCAGCCGGACTGAATCAGAACATGAATGTAAACTGCGTGGAGGTGGGGGGTCTGTCCATGAAGGAGCCCCACCAGCCCCAGTCGCGCTTGTCGCAATGGACGCATCCCAACTCCATCGAAAGCCTCTCCGGAAGCTCCTCCCCTCTGGAGCCCAACCTGGGCAAGCATGGTGAGAAAAGAAATGGCATCCTGGGTAATTAAATACTAATCAAACCCCGTTTTCACATTCAGCCCTTTTCTCCATGTCCTTCATAGTTGACCTGAATGGAGCAAAAAATGTTTACCACTTCCCCCTGTTATCAACCTCAATATTTTCCGTTTTAATATCCCTTCTCTCAGGTGCCAACCTGGGCCCCCCTGGAAAGCTCCCTCAGATGGAGGACTCGTACAGCCACTACAACTTGATGTCCAGCTCAGACTCTCCTAACAGCCCCTTGGTCCCCCAAGACAACTGGGGGCAGGTCAAGGGCACCAGTGATAAGATGGCCAACGGGACCAATATCAACTGGCCACCAGGTTAGCAAGACTTTAGGAGCTCTCTGCTGATGGTTTGTCGTTGGGAGGCAGAATTGCTGATAAGAGAACTGAAGAGATACAATCAAGTAAAACAACTCAATTAGACAGGACTAAAGTCAATATAGTGACAATTCAGTAAAACAGATGCCCGGTCGCTAGCTGGTTGGCAGCCGTTATGTAATGTGGAATTTTTTCAGAGGTAAAAAAAAAAAAAAAGCTAACTAATAACAATAATTTTGTTTTTCAGAGTTCTGCCCAGGTGTCCCCTGGAAGGGCCTCCAGAATATTGACCCTGAGACCGACCCTAACGTGACCCCCGGCAGTGTGCCCAGCGGGCCCACCATCAACACCAACATCCAAGATGTCAACCGCTACCTGCTGCGGGACAGGAGCGCAGGTGAGAGCTTTGTGTAGTCACTCTGAATTCATTTTTCATGGAGCAAACCCCCATCGATTTAAAGTCCTCTTCGTGCAGCTGCTGCCAAAAAAAGAGACTGCTTCTGCTTCTTTTGTACTCCTTTTTTTTTTTTTTTTTACTTTTAACAGCTTTTATAATCATTGTCATTTTCCAGTCTCTTCTTCACAAGCTTGCTCTCATCATTTGTCCTGCATTTTTCCTTTACTCCATTTTCTCTTTCTGCTACTTTTTCCTTTTTTGTTTGTCTATTTGTTGGTGTTGGTTGCATCGGCTCAGGCTCCTCCCCCCCCTCGCCTCAGAGCGAGGCTGTGCCTCCCCCCAGTGATTGGCCAGTCAGTGCCTACACTAGCTCGTTCAGTCTGTCGTCCCCGGAGACAGACGATGCAGGTACATGGTTCATCCATCACCAACCCCCCCCCCTCCCCCCTCCTCCCAGGTTGCAGTGGCTGAATCACTGCACATCAACATTATCCTCTCCCTCCTCTTACCCTTAAACAACCAGACAACATGTCACCTGTCCGTTCCCTCTTCTGATTGAATAAGATCCTCCCTTGAGCTCGCGCTCCACTTTTCCTCTCTTGCCGGGCCTATTTCCCCTGTGGTTGTCGGTCTATATCCTCCTTGTACGTGGCACGGGAGGTTCTCCACTTTGTATAAATATGAATAACCTTTTAGGCATTTGCAGGAACCCCGCCCGCTTGCTTGTGCAGGTCGACCTTTCACTCACTCTTTTCCTTCCAGGTAAACTGTCAGAAATGAAATCGACTTGGTCTCCGGGCCCCGTTTCCCACAACCAGGCCTCTCTATCCCACGAGCTGTGGAAGGTCCCACAGGGCCCCCGGAGCAGCAACGCGGCCCCTTCCCGACCTCCACCTGGCCTTACCAACAGCAAGCCCACTTCCACTTGGGGGGGCAACTCCCTGGGCCTTGCTCAAGGCTGGAGCAGCTCCTACACAACAGGTAGCCTGATAGTGAATATATACAGAACTGCGCCCCCCCCCCCCAGGGAAACATTCTTACATTTATGACATGATGAAAACCGCATAGCAGCGCTACAAGGCGTTAAATGAGATAAAGGGGTCCCAATGAGTTGGTGTGTGTGGTTGTAAAGAATGCAGGAGGAGTGTAGGCGAGGCTGCACTTTGATGTGTCATATAACCACTTTGAGAGTAGAGAGTAGGCGGGTGAAAACTACTCATGGAGTTCAACAGTTTGTCAACTGACGCTGGGCAGAACTAGACACCACCCATTCAGCTATTGCAACTGATTTTGGTTTCACGCGAGCTTGTTAAGCATCTTTGTGTGTGTGTGTGTGTGTGTGTGTGTGTGTGTGTGTGTGTGTGTCTCTCTCTATGCAGCAGGTACCACGTGGAGTACAGACAGCGCCACCAGGGCCAGTAGCTGGCTGGTTCTGAGGAACCTCACTCCCCAGGTACCGGTTTACGCTACAGCTGCTTCCTCCCGGGCTGAAAGCATTCAGGCCTCACAGAGAATTCACCGTTTCCTTGCACTCGTGGCCTTGCTCTCTCTCACTCTCTCTGTGTCCTTGTTCTTTGACCCAGATCGACGGTTCGACTCTGCGTACACTGTGCATGCAACACGGCCCCCTCATCACATTCCACCTCAACCTGACGCAGGGCAACGCCGTGGTGCGCTACAGCTCCAAGGACGAAGCTGCCAAGGCTCAGAAGTCCCTGCACATGTAAACCTCTTAATAAAATTCCCTTTTTTTTGTTTTTCTGCTAAGGAGGCTTGAACCCTCACTTACCCGTGTTTATTCCTCTCGCCCCCACCCAGGTGCGTGCTCGGGAACACCACCATCCTGGCCGAGTTTGCCGGGGAAGATGAAGTGAACCGCTTCTTTGCACAGGGCCAGTCGCTCGGCGGCACCACCAGCTGGCAGGCCACGCCGGGCTCCAATCAGACGAGGATGGGCGGCGCCGGGTCGGGAGCCCCCCACCCCATCGGCCACTCCCCGCACTGGAACAACAACAACAACGGCGGCGGAGGGCTCGGAGCGGGCGGAGCAAAGACGGGGGGGGAGTTGCTGTGGGGTGGCGTGCAGCAGTATTCCAGCCTGTGGGGGCCGCCGAGTGGAGAGGAGGGGCGGGTCATGGGGAGTCCCACACAGATCAATACCCTGCTGCCTGGGGACCTGCTGAGTGGAGAGTCCATGTAGGGCGGAGGAGCCCGGGCGCAACAAACACCAACAGGAGTATCAAATCTTGCAAATCATTGTGGAGATAATCAGTGTGGCTGTAACGGTGAGAAGGGGAGACGAGAGGAGGGAGGGGCTACATCCTCGCTGCTCACCCTCGCCAACCTCCTCCACTCCTTTTTTTTTTTTTTTTTGTATTTTAATGACATTTCAGCTGCAGTTGTTTTATGAATCTCAGTGTTCAGCTTTTCTCTTTTCGAGACACGGGAAGGAGTCTTTCGTTTGACAAAGAAGGAGAACTTTTTACAGAAATGAACTTGCGCCGGAACTCGCGAGTTGGAACGCGAACTTCAGTCCAAACTGACACGAGATGACGAGCCGCCATCTTTAAACTTGCGTAATCCCTCTCTGCCTTTTCAGGCAATCACACTGCACCTCAGAGATCCATGAAAAAGGCATCATTCCCAAAGTAAAACCCTTCAATCAGAGTGGTTGTCAAACTTTCAGCTGGTCCGGACTCAAACTTCTGTTTCTCTCAGCACTAATATTAGCCTTAACCTCTTTCCTGCCCTGCTATCCTCACTCACTCTGTACTTGGTGAAGAAGCATACGGACACTTGCACACCCTTATTTCTGAGCCAGTGAAACCCGAGTGGAGAGTCCACAGCTGCTGCGGCCCGACGCAAGCAACCACAGCTCACAGCTTCAGTGCATTTTTGCAAGCGGATCGAGTTCCCCGACACAATGATGCAACTCTGTGGTGTTCAAGCCATTCGTTTTTGTATTTCTTTTTTTTCTTAAATCATTGCAAGCTAAGAAATGATATTATTCAAATGTGTCTGTCAATCTCTGGGTGGTGAGGGGGGGGTCATCGCATGTACACTGATGGGCGCGATGGACTACAAAAGGAACCACTGCTATTACTAAGGAACTGTAAAGTCACTTCGATGCACCTCAACTCATCTGCGGGCAACTCGCAGTTTTTGGTCTCAGTTTCGGGAACCTCTCACCGATGTTGTGGAAAAACCTCAAGTCGTAAAATGTCCCCCCCCCCCCCCCCCGCTGGGGTGTGTTTCCCCACCTTTTTTCAAGTGACGTGCAATATATGCCACAGACTCTACCGTGCAAGCACCACCACCTCTCTGAGAGAGAGAAGAGACTGTAAGGAATGATTGAACCGCAAAATCTGCCCTTCGATCACCCCTTAAAACTGCCACTACTACCCCCCCCAAGAGTGTGTGTGTGCGCAGGAGAGCAGCGAGCTGGTCTTCACCCACCTTATGTCCAAGATACAAGGAGGTACCCACAAAGCACTTCTTCAGCCAGCCCACCCTCCACACTTACACCAGTGACTGGTTTCGGGGGAGGAGGGAAAGGTGTGTGTGTGCGTGTGTGCGCGCGCGTGTGTGTGTGTGTGTGTGTGTGTGTGTGCACTTGGGTAGAAGGCATCAAACCAAAATGAGAGGAGCTGGTTTTTCTTTGTACCCAAGAAAACCAGGTTACCTTTTTTGTGTTTTCCCTGTTTGCTCATATTTGCATTGGTAGGAATGTTGGCAGCGGAGATTTGTGAATAGGTCGTCTATCATAGCACTTAGCAAGAGCGTCGCAGCTCGTTATACCCTTAACGCCAACAGACAGAAGAGAGGAGAAGCCACGATGGCAAAAAAAAACTGGAAAAAAAAATAAGACAAAAAAAGCAATCTGCCTGGTGGCTTCTCCAAACGCTTATTTTTTAACTTGACATGAATGTGAAGATGTATTTTTTTTTTTCTCCTCTCTCTATCCTTCTTCCCTCAAGTCTCAAGGACGAGGAAGGATGTCAAACATGGTAGCAAAGTGAAGGGAAATACAAAGCAAGAACTAACTCAACTGACGATGGGTGCAGCGGGGGCCAGACCCCCAAAGCACTCGCCCTCTTCAACTAAGTAAATATCACTGTTGCATTGCGTACTCTGGAACCTTCCGCCTCGGTGTCTGGAAAACCCTCGACATGTTCCACTGGATCCAAGCAGGGAGGATCGCCGCCGCCGCCGTCTTCGTCCATTTCTTTTGGTCTTCTTCTTCTCCTCTTCTTTCTATTGGAGGCCCTGCCAACCTGTGTGATAGTGTGGCCACTGAGTGCCTGCCTGCTGCAGAGTACGGTGCTCTGCAGCAGCTGCCGCCCCCCCTCCTGCGGATCCCTACAGACTGGCGTCCCCCCCCCCCCCCCCCCACACACACACTTGGCCTCCAGGCCGAGAGCAGCTCTTTCATAATACATTTACTACTACTGCTGCGCCAGAGTCTGTCCTCAGCAACACCCCCCCCCCCTCTTTGTCTCCCTCCTGCAAGGATCACTTTACCCAGAAATGGAGGCGTTCAATGCGTAGTTGTTTTTCTTGCTTTCACTTATGGAATCGCCAGTGTGGATTTTTATTTGATTGTTGTCATGAAGTTTGCTGACATTGTTGCTGTTATCATTGAGGATATAATGATAATGATTGTTTTCATGGCTTTTTTTTTCACAATGGTCTTTTATGCAGTGTTCAGCCCCTCTCCTGCCCCTCCCACTGCCCCCCCCCCGGGCACAAGCGGTGTGTGGTGACGAGGTACGAAACGCTGCAGATCTCAGTCGACAGGGTCAGTGGGGGGAGTTCTTTACTCGGACAGGTTAAAAGAGTCACGTCCAATCAGGTGGCAAAGGGTTGTGTAGTCAAAGGTTCTCCAGGATAGTCGGCCAACTTCTTCTGTCCATCCTCCCCCACCCCACACTCACACTGGTGCTTTATGTTTAACTCTGGGAGCACTCAGTTACACTTAGAACCAACTGATAACAGCCTTCCATTTCTATGCAAAGACGAGGAGGTGTTCATTCGCAGACCCCCCCCCCCCCCGCACACACACATTTGCCAATCCTCACATCTCTCCACCATCACTAACCGGTAGCTTCCCTTCAAACCCCCTTGATCAAATGTAAGCCGGACGCTGAACGAGTCCCTTTGAGGGTTTAGCCCCCCGCTGTGTGGACGGAGCTGCTGCGTGACTCTTAACTGACCTGCTGCAGACGCGAGTCGTTGGCAAACCAAGTCCCTTCTTCAGTGTTTTGCCGAGTGATCCACAAACATTTACTTCCCACTTTGCCATATCCTAATTTATCTTAAGCGAGATTATTCCAGCTGCGGGAGGCACGGGGAGTAGAAGGGCCGGACAGATGAATGGTGCTGGGCTTTCACCGACAGTGGACTTGAACCGTAGTGGCGAACCAGGCTGGGGAGGGCGGTGGCGAAGGGTCCCCCTGTAGGTGTCTGTGCACTGTTTATGGGTCAAATCGGGTACATCTCTTTAAAAAACCAAAAACGTATTTGTCTTTATCATCAAGATTTTTGCAAAAACTAGAAAATACAAAAAAGGAAAAGGGTCGTCGAGCTGTGCACTCCGAGGCGTCTGTGTCCCGTGTCCCTGAAAGCGCCCGCCTTCTTGCCCCGTCTGGGAAGCTGCATCCAGGTGGTTCGTTTTGGACCTCTGACCTGAAGGTCAAAGACAGGTCATTTCTGCTCATCTGGCTCGGGGGTGGGGGGGAGGCAGGGTCCGAGGTATCATCAGAAATAGGGACAAAACCTTAAGTTCGGTACTGAGTCTTAAAAACTTCCAGAGTCACTGTAGACTCATTCAACAAAACCATCACTATTGCCTGTGTTGTGTGTTCGTTTGTTCCTAAAAAAAAACCTGCATCAACTCCACATTGGACTTGAACCAAGCAACTGGCGTCTGGGGGGGTCGAGTGGAGTGGGAGGACGGGTCACTGGGACGGAGGTCAAGTCTCAGAAGTGCCCGGGGGGTTTTTTTGTTTTTGTTTTGGCGCCGCACCAGCACTGAGAGCCCCGCCCCTTCCCGCGTCCCGCGTCCTGCTCTCTTATCTGCCTGTCTGTGGTTGGAAATCAGACGCTGCCCCTGTTTGAAAGTCACACGGACTCAAAGGTAACTGGACCTCAAGCAAATGCTTCTCAATCATGGATCAGACGAGGGTCAAAGGCCCCGAAAAAGTGGACTTAGCAAATCACTCTTATAAAAAAATAAATTAAAAAAAAAGGCCTGGGTTGAATATGCACATGCTAGTTCATATACACAACATGCATCTATACAACCAAGATTACATAATGTGTGTGTGTGTGTATATGGCTAGATCTCTTTGTTTTCCACTTGGCCTAAGCCCCACAACCCCCCTCTCTGCCCCCCTGCCCCGGCTTTGGCACTTACCCCGTGTACCCTCCTCGCCGTTATGTTCCCCAGAAGACAAGATCATAAACATATCAGAGTAATACAAAATAATGAAAACAAATACTTGAATCAAAAGAAGCGCCAATAATGTAATGTGAACACTTTTTTTGTAGTGACTTTCTGTCTCATTCATAAACAGAGATTTTTGATAGCATCAGTTAGGAGTGAATTAAAATTTGGAAAACGAGTGTTGAAAACAAAGGTCGATATAAAGGTAAATTTATGTCTGTTGTATTTGAGTGTTTGCACAAGGCTGCTTGTACCGTATGTTGTATGAACGAATGTTTAGTGTACGAGGTGAAAATATGTATGAGATCTCGTGATTACAGCGGAGGAAACTCCGCCTCGTGGTTCTTTTTCAATTAAGTATCGTTTTGTTTTTGATTTTTTTTCTTTTCGCTTGTCAAAAATATATTCTGATGTTAATTGTGACTAGCCTCTAGCGTTGCACTGAGTGTCGGCCTCATCCCTCATCCAGCTAAACGAACAACATGATACACGTACTGAGGGGAGACGGGGACAGTTCATGTGTAAATGTTTACTCAAGGACTAAAATAAGTGTGTTTTTAAAATGTAATGTTTATCTACCTTAGTGGCTTTCATTGTCGAATAATCCAAGAAAGTATGGATCATAATTGAGTATTGCACCATTTTTCGGACTATAAACCTGAGAAAAAGAAGAAAGCAAGAAAAGAAAAGAAATAAAAAATTGACATGTATAAAATAAAATTCAGCATAAAAAAAAAAGTATTTTGCAGAACTGTCGCCATAGATTTGGGCAGAAGGACTTCAGCTCTCCCAAATCTAAGCAACGGAGGGATTGAAAGAGACATCAGACTGAGCCTTGGCTTCTAGGGCTGACTTCAGAGGTGCCTACCTTTTTGGTTTGTTAGCTTTCCGTTCTGTTTTCACTTCAACGTTCAATTCACTCATGTTGTCGTTTGTTTTCCTGCAAGGCCACTGACAGTTTACAAACACTTTGTTTATTTCTGGAGTTCGAAAAAATAAATCAGCAACACAAAGGAATTAAATAATGGGAATGTTGTAAAAAGAAGGAAAAAAAGGACAAATGCTTCCATTAAAGAAAAAAAACACAACACTTCAAATAAATGAATATTTCTTGTGCTACTTTCAGAACTCTGGGATTGAACAGTGTTGTCTTCTTCTGTTTAACCTTCTTTGTTGTGTGTTAATGTTGATTTCATCGATTATCTGAAGCCTGTACGTTTTATGTTGATTATATATATTTTTCCTTTATATAGAAAAAAAAAGAAAAGAAAAAAAGACATAATTGCTCACTATCTTGCACACGAAAAAGTGGATTTTGTCTCAGGAAGGCCAGGGTTCCAGAGTACCAACTCCACGCCATTTTAATGTACATTTCTATGATGAGTAAAACAAATGGACGATTTAAAAGAAACAATGCTAAGCACTGAAAGTTATGGGTTTCAGAAGAAGAGAAAATACCTTTTGTTTCTAAATCCGTAGCAGTTACATAATAACCAAATAATGGACTTTAAATGAAAATGGAGTGCTTTATATAAAAAAAAAATCTATATATTAAAATTGCTTTACATTTAAAAACGAAAAAGGTCAATGATTTTGATTGTCAAAAAAAAGACTGAATAACAAAATGCTGTATGTTGGAATCTTTATTGTGTTTTCTAAATGAGGTCCTGTCCTGACTAAATCAGGAACTTTGTGCATTACTCTTTCTTTCCTCTTTCTCTCATTCTCCCACAGCGGGTATTATTAATATAGAAATCAGACTTTTGTGGAACATTTTTCCCATTTTGGAGGATGTTTATAAAACATGAGCTGGTTGTAAAGGATCATGAAACTATGCACAAGTGTTTTTTTTCGGGGGGGGGGGGATTTTATGGCCTACTTCTAAGTGGCTCATCTGTTGCTGGGTTTTTGGGATCCAATGTGTTTTTTATTTTATTGTGAAGGGCGCGCAGGGGCGAGTTGATTCATGTAAAGCTCTCTGCCTCCAGCTTCCTTCTCCCCATTCAGATTGACCTATAGCGCCACATCGCCATGCTGTGTATTCCTAAAACCAATGAGCGTCTCACTCGTTAGCACTGTGGGATTCTAGCCTGTCACCCTCAAGGGTTTGTTTTCTGAGTTAAGGGTTTTTTTGGGAGGGCGGTGGGTGTTGGATTAGGGCTGCTTTTTTTCCTCTTCATTTTTTTGCCTTTTTTATTTGGAATATTGAGTAAAAATGTCTGTACTGAGATTTAATGAAAAGTCAGTGGCTTGTAATGTTTTTTGTTTTTTTTCTCTCTGTATATCTCTTTCTCCTCATAGAATGTGATTGTTAAATGACATGCACCGAAACAAATGTTTTCATGAACTATGGAGCTTCTTTGAAATATTAATAAAATAGCATTTTTTTCTTGGCTGTTAAAGATGGGCAATTGGGTGTTTTTTTTCCATCACTAAACCCATTTTAGATTTTATATATATATATATATATATATATATATATATATATATATATATATCCTGAGCGTCTCATCGTGTGTTTGCAGAGGCGCTGATGTCACATCCTGTTGACATCTGCTCCACCGAGTCACCTCAGGCCCTGAGGGCGAGCTGCCTGGGACATGCGTAGTAGTTGTCCTGTGGCTGCCGGATGTCCGTGTTGGCGTACGCGGGGAAGTTTACTTCCTCCAGGTGTGAGGGGGCCTCAGGGTTATTTTTGGGGGCCACCGGACTGCGCTGCTTGCAGGTCATTTCCTCGTAGATGGGAACAGGGGGTTGTGGTCTGTGATGATGCCGGGACTTCACCTGCAACACACAACATTACTTTTAGGTGTTTTTGTTGGGGACATTATGTTTTTAGGACGTATGTACGTATATTCTGGTGGACATACTCATTTTGGAGCTGCCTGAGCAGTGTGACATCACAAAACACAATTGGCCAATGACAATTCACCGCACATGTCTAACAGAAGTGATGAAGGACGATTAGAATATAAACTACAACATGGCCGTGACGTACAACATTACAGTTTATACTCTTTATACTCAAAGCCTCCATTTCCTCTATGTATTTATTACCTTACTACGTTGTAGTCTAGTGTTTACATAATTAATCTATTATGTAAAGTGAAATCTTGAAAACATCCTAAAACCAAAAGAAATTCAGTTTACAATCATTAAGATGTTAAGGTTAACCAGTACTCCCATTTGACAAGTGGAACCAAAGGATTGTCGGGATCTTTGTTTAAGAAATTACATAATTGATTAATGCGTTTCTTTCTGATCATCTAATTGCATCTCTAATGGAGAAATGCCATTTGAGATTACATTGACGTACTTGAGCGTTTTTCCTTTCACATGAGAAAACTAATACATTTTAGACCCTCTTGTGTTCGAGGTCAATCGTTCTTTTGGTCCAAAAAGAGACCGTAATCCTTCACCCCTGCAGGCACCAACTTGGGAAACATGCAACAAATGGAAGGTCTGGTCTCAGTCACACAACAAATAAGTACACAGAACGACAAAGGTAAGGCTTGTTTAGCAAAATAACACACATATGGGATTATACAGTATAGAATATAACATCTTCAACCCAATATAGCTGAAATGCATAATGCAAAAAATGAATTATTTACTGCTTATTTAAGACTACATAGTACAATATCTGGACATGATGGTCATTTTTGAAGCCGTAACTTGTTACAATTGCCTGAGATATTTATTTCGTGGCCGTCAGTCTCTACAGATAAGAGTCCACAAAGAAATCCTCCCTTTTGTCTTCAGGCGTATTGTCAGATTTTGTGAGTCATACATCAATAATCCCAGCAGTAATTTTAAAGTACGTACATTTTCTAAAAAAGTGGCTCCATCAAAGCGATCCTGTCAGGCCTCTATCAACGTTATTAACGCTGACACAATAATTGGTTGTGAACTCAACATGACTCACTTGAGCAACTGATATTTAAATGTGCAGCAGTTGAAAAGCCACCGCTTCAGTCAGAAATACTGCAAACGTCTAAGACACGAGTAGATGCTGTTAATCAAACCCATGTGCATTCTTGCTTCACGTTATAAAAAAAAAACATAAATTCAATTTAAAGCGTTTAAACACTTACACATTTCTCCAAGGCCAGCAGGCCGAGTGTGAGCAGAAGAAGCCCCGCTACGGTAAAGATGATCAGGAGCAGAAGAGGGTAACTGGCTGAGCACCGGCAGGACCCTCCTGCACCAAAGACACACACACACATGGAGGCGCATCTCAATCTGCACGGAGCTACTCGGGGTTTAACCACAGCAGAGTGTATCGCGAGGTGTCTCAACCACGTACCTGCGCCTTCAACCAACAAGAACACCGTCGGAGCACCGAGGACCATCTGCTCAGAGCGGTTCCCCCGTCCGTAGCTCAGCTCCCACACGTAGAGGCCCGTGTCACTGGGCTGCAAAAGGGCCACGGTCACGTTGACCTGCCGGCTGTCCAGGCCTCCGGCGAGCCTGAGGCGGCCCACGTGTTCCGCGTTGAGCCTCGGGCCGCCGCCGCCCTCGGCCATGGACAGCAGGGTGGTCTGGCTGCGGGCGCCGCGGTGGTACAGGTGGAGGCCGGTGGGAGCGCCGCGCTGCAGCTGAGGGGAGCAGGAGAGCTCCAGGGACTGGCCGTCCGTCTGCTGACGAAAGATCAACTCCGCACAGGCTGCAGTTAAAGAAAATACACAGTTAACGTCAGTCTTTAGCCTGAAATATCCCAACTACTACTGTGTGGGTTGCTATGATGTCTTGCATTGGTCCCCTGATCGGCAGATGTTTTCCTCTGGCGCACCACTAGTCGGCCACAGGGGACGAACCCAGAACCTTCTGTTTTAACAGCTCTACCACCACTGTTATATTTGTTAAATACTGGCACAACCAAGGACAGTCCAGTGAATCATTTTCAAAAACAACCTAAAAAGATTCATCTATTTAAATGTTAACTGCTAAAAGGCTGCTGTTGATATATTCGCAACATGATGTAACATTCGTTATGAACAACAGCACGTTGTCATTGTAATCACGCATTCATCTTTTAGCCCCAACTGTCGTTGGATTTTCTCCCAGTAGAGAAAAACCAATGAAACTGTTACACGGTAGAAGAAACGCACTGTCAGGGTGACAAAGTCACACCTGTGAGTTTTATCTTACCTTCAATGAGCTGAATGAGAAGGAGAACGCATGGCAAGCTCATCTTCATGGCCTTTGCCGTTATGAACAGACAATAAGATTTACCACGGCTCAGTCATGTCGTACTCCTCCCATTTCCTGCTCGTCTATTGTGAGACTTTGTCAACACCCACCGCTGTGTGTATTGTCCTTCACTTCAAAGCAGAAAGAGGATATCAGAGTAAGACCCGCAAGTATAAGGTTTCTAATGAACCCTTATACTCATGTTTTTATTTTTAACATATGATACTGCGATTAATATTGACAGTATACTATACCTTGTTTTACTATACACATTTCTATTGCTTTTTTGACACACTATGCTGTGACTTTTTTTCAATAACACTCTCAACATACAATAATGTGATCTTTATCAATGTACTCCACTTTTTTTCCAATATGCACTTTTTTATGAATGTTATGGGCATAGTATGTAATTAATTTGTATGTTTTTTTTTAATCATAATATACTAGGATTGTACTCACTTTTTGACACACTCAATCATTCATAATTAATTAATGATTGAATTAATAATTCAATCATTAATTTAGACTTTTTCTGTCTATCACCATTATATGGAATTTTGTAGGATTTTACTCTTGAGTTTATGTTGACTTTAAAAAAGATAAAAAATTATATGATGACTTTTTTGACATAGTTTGGTATATTTGTTTTTGGAGTTTTTTGAACACATTAATTTTGGTCTTGATTCCCCGAGGGCGGAAAACCAATTACAGAGTGATTAGTGGATGATTAGTCTCAGGTGTGCATTGCTGTCTGTTAGACTGCTGGTGTGAATATAAAGTCAAACATGCGTCACTGTTAAGACTTGTGTGCTGCCTAGTGGGTCTGACAGGAGGACAGTTGGTATTCGCTTGAGGTTGCTGG